CGTGTCCCATCCCGGGGGGGGGGCCTGGATGCCCCGTCCCGGGGAGGCCTGGCGTAGGCCCAAGAGGCAGTGGAGGCCGCGGGCCCCAGCCCCTGCCCTCTCCTTCCCTGACCAGAGCCAGCAGTGAGGCTGTGCCCGGTGGGTAACGGGCGCTGGCGCCTGGCTCCGTACCCTGGTCCTGGGCACTGGGCATGGCGAGCGCGCTCTGGGGCAGGTGTGCGCCCTCTCTCTCCCAGAGCCGCGCGCTGGGTCCCCCCTCCTCAGCTCCCCAGACCCCGGTGACCGCTGGGCCTCCTGCACAGCAGGGCTGCGTTCAGGATGAACGCCCTGGCTCAGCTCCGAGCCCAGCTCGGGGACGGTGCTCAGTCCTCTCAGACCTGCCTGGTACACATTAGCACCTGTGAACACGTTGCAGGAGATGCCTATCCTGTGTGTGCGCCCGTGTGTGCCCGCGCACATCACGCTCCAGCAGCCACGGCCGCAGATACGCACAGGTTTTAGATGAGGAACGTACCGCTCAGTGTGTTCCCGTTCTCGCGGCCCTGCCGACCCCCTGAGCTTCTGTAAAACTTGAATGTCATGACCTTGCACAGGCTGAGCTACGCAGGGACAGGGTTGAACCCAGATGCTGGCCCACAAGTTTCAGAATAATATTTAACCTTCCAACTTTCGAAGGATTCTGAAGCGTGAAGGTGTCTCGGGTGACATTTCTCAGGGGCCAGAGAGGCTCAGTCGCTGTTATCAGCGAATTTGTGACTGTGTGCTGTGACGCAGTCACGTGCGACTGAGAAGTAAACTTTACTATTTTGGGTCCAATTAGGAAACAATAACGGATTTGAGCAGTTTTATAGCGGATTGAAGGTTCACAGTACCAACCTGCCAGAGTAAAACCTAGGATGCGCTGGTGGCTGGGAGCGGGCAGAGGGAGTCTGAACTCCGCAGCCTTGGCCCTGGCCTCGCACACTAGTGACGTGCACACGTCTCCAGATGCCGACCCGCCAGTCACCGGGGCCCCCGGGGCCCCCATGGACCTAAAGTGCCACGACGCGAACCGTGACTATGTCATTGTCACTTGGAAGCCGCCCAACACGACCACCGAGAGCCCGGTCATCGGCTACTTCATCGACCGGTGAGTGCACGCGGCCATCCCCAGGGACGGGCGCTCCGTGCCAGTGGGGCCGCGGGCCTGGACACGTTTCCCAGTGGGAGTTGATGGTGCCATTCCCGACAGGCCCTAAGTAGCCAGGGCGGTGGCTGTTCACCACTGCCAACCCGGCCGTCGGTCGCTATCACAATAGGCGGGTTTAGGGAAGCCCCCGGCTTGTTTTGGGTAAGTCTGGAGACTTGGGCCTGTTACATTCCAAGTAGCAAGTACAGCCAGCACCCTCAGGCAAGCTGTGGGCTGGGGGCCTGTGTTAGCACCAGTCACGCTGGGCACCCGTGTGCAGAGGGTTTCTGTTCCTTAATTTAGGTCATTAAACTCAGTAGAGGGGTATGTGCATGCGTGTGTGTGTGTGTGTGTGTGTGTGTGTTTAAAACCAATGGAGTTTTAAATCCTTGATTTTCCTTTACTTGATATAATTTTCAGAGTCTGTAAAGAGTATGGGGTTGTACTATCAAGGAGTTTATTAGATACAGAATTTATGCCTCAAATATAAATTTCAAGCAGTGGAAGAAATTGTAGTTAAAATGTGTTTAGAAATGAGGCAGAATGCAGGCTAAGAGGCTACAGAAGAGAGTTCCTGGCAGGAATTTAAGATTTTTATATGCACAACACAATATATAAAACAAGGTACTTATTTGGAAAAAATGTTGGTGCTGTGTCTTTTTTTTTTTTTTTGGCTTAGGCAGATGAAGTTCTCTTTTGAACACCAACAAAGCTGTTTGGTTAGCAAAATACTCACCATCAAGATAATATTTTGGCATATTAGAGATATTTTCAGAATTGTTTAGTGTTTATCTTGACTTAAAATATTTTATATAAAGATTTTGTTACATTAGGGGAGGTTCTAGCCTATTCTGAATTGAAGAGTATATATATATATATATATATATATATATATATATATATATATTTAATAAACTTTATTAAGGTGAGAAAAAACCCAATCAGCCAACCAGTGAACCAACTAGCCAGCCAGCCAGTCAATCAACCAGGCAGCCAGCCAGTCAATCAACCAGCCAGCCAGTCAATCAACCAGCCAGCCAATCAACCAGCCAGCTAGTTAGTCAACCAGTCAGCCAAGCCAATCAACCAGCCAGCCAGCCAATCAACCAGCCAGACAATCAACCAACCAACTAGCCAGCCAATCAACCAGTCAGCTAGTCAGTCAACCAGTCAGCCAAGCCAATCAACCAGCCAGACAATCAACCAACCAACTAGCCAGCCAATCAACCAGTCAGCTAGTCAATCAACCAGCCAGCTAGTCAGTCAACCGGTCAGCCAGCCAATCATCCTGCCAGCCAATCAACCAACCAGCCAGCCAGCCAACCAACCAGCCAGCCAATCAACCAACCAGCCAGCCAGCCAATCAATCAACCAAATAAGCAACCCAAAACTATCTTCTGTTGTCCAAGCACATCAATTAATATTTCCAACTATATTGTCAAAGTTCTTTCATGAACTATCTCAGTGAATAATTCATGTTCCTCCCCCCTCATAAGAAGTACTGAAGTGACAGAAAGTTCTAGAATATGCAGGACATCTCCTGACTTCACACTGGCCCTGTGCATTGCCAGTTTCTGATTTAAGTAGAGTTCCCTGTCAGCCCTAGTTAATGTGGACCAGCGGTGTGGACAGAGAACTTCCACTGAGAATTCTGGGTGACGTGGACCAGGGGTGTGGACAGGGAACTTCCACCGAGAACTCGGTGACGTGGACCAGGGGTGTGGACAGAACTTCCACCGAGAACTCTGGTTCTTCTAACGTGGGTTATACCGCTCTGAGGGGGCGGTGCTCTGAAAGACTGTTTCTCCGACCTTGCCGTTTTTTTCCCTTGGGATGCTTTCTGAAGCAGTTTTTGAATTCGCATACATTCATAATATAAAGCGTTTTGTGATAACCCCATAGCTGTGCGCAGTGCGCTTTGAACAGATGTATGCCTGCACTGCCTTCCCATTCCCTCCACCCCACGCCTGCCACACGACCTCGTAGGCAGAAGGTTTGTACTTAAAGTTCAGCCTGTGAAAGATGGGGTTACTCAGCCATGTTTCCAAGTTTTTGTCAGGACTTGTTTTTAAAAGGCTTTCGAATTCCACAGGAGAATACTCTAGAAGGAAGTAGCTTATTACCAAGTAGACATGAGCAGCTTCGAGGGAGAGTTCACACCGGAAAGATCTGTATGGGGTCCATGCAGGAGTCAGCGGTCCAGCAAGGCTGGTGCCTCCCGGGGTGGGTGGGGAGCGCTGGGACTTCACCACCTGCCGTGGCGAGGTGCGGCGCTGAGGAGAGTCTTACCAGAGAAAGATGTTCGGTAGCAGCTATCTTAAGTGATAAATTATGAAAGCTCAGAGTAACCTACCTGTCTGTCTGTCTGTCTGTCTATCTATCTATCTATCGTCTATTTGCCCTTCACCTGTCATCTATCCCCTACATCATCTGTCCCCATGAAGGTATTTGCCTAACCCTGACTAGCGATAAGCATGGACACTGCTTGTAAGGACTTGGTATTTGAGCAGCTCAGATCTCAGTTACTGCTGGGTGCCCCGTGAGCGCTTGGAAGGCTGCCGCACGGGTTCTCCCGTCTTGTCTGTTCGCTCTTGAAGGTGTGAAGTGGGCACGAGTAACTGGGTTCAGTGTAATGATGCCCCGGTGAAGATCTGCAAGTACCCTGTCACGGGGCTTTTTGAGGGACGGTCTTACGTGTTCCGGGTGAGGGCGGTCAACAGCGCAGGCGTCAGCCGGCCCTCCAGAGTCTCCGAGGCGGTGGCTGCCCTCGACCCCACTGACCTCAAAAGGTTACAAGGTAGGCTGCAGCATGCGAGTCCCGCGGATGACCTGCGACCTGTGGGCCGTTTGCACGTGGCTCCTTCCCTGTGAGCCCAGTGTGTGTGGGCTGTTTGCACGTGGCTCTTTCTCTCTCTCTGTCCCAGTGTGTGTGGGCCCAGGGGCACAGCCCTGCTGGCGTGCGGGCGATGCTCCCTCTCGATGGCAGGCTCCTGTGCTCCATGGCTCACGTGCTTCACCTTCACCAAGCGCTGCACCTGGTCCACTACGGTGGCTCAGGAAGGATCCTCCTCAGTGGACCATGGCAGAATTTCAACACAGTGAGCCTAGGAGCCCAAGACCCAGCATTTTAACTACATGACAGTTCCTTCATGGGCCAGGCCTTTAAGTGGATGGCTGTATTTCTCTGACCCATGTTGCGTGGTTCTTTGAAACCTCTATAAAGAGCAGAGACATGGTAAACATAACCGGAACAGGACCAAAAGGAGATGCTCTCCTGAGGGCCCTCGGACAGACCCCGCGCAGAGCTGGCGTGCGCCTCTGCCTCCCCTAGGGAATGCTGGCCCTCAAGTCGGCATCTCCTTTTCTCTCTGCAGCTATTCATCTGGAGGGAGAGAAAGAGATCGTGATCTACCAGGATGACCTTGAAGGTGGGGAGCTCCTCCTGCTTCGTTTGGTCCTGTGTGGTCTCGGACTGGGGACAGTGGCTCCAGAGAAGGGGTGGACGTGAGCTTCACTCACAGCACAGAGAGGCGCGTGGACGTGAGCTTCACTCACAGCACAGAGAGAAGGGGTGGACGTGAGCTTCACTCACAGCACAGAGAGAAGGGGTGGATGTGAGCTTCACTCACAGCAGAGAAGAGGTGGACGTGAGCTTCACTCACAGCACAGAGAGGCGCGTGGACGTGAGCTTCACTCACAGCACAGAGAGGCGCGTGGACGTGAGCTTCACTCACAGCACAGAGAGGCGGGTGGACGTGAGCTTCACTCACAGCACAGAGAGAAGGGGTGGACGTGAGCTTCACTCACAGCACAGAGAGGCGCGTGGACGTGAGCTTCACTCACAGCAGAGAGGCGGGTGGACGTGAGCTTCACTCACAGCATGGTGTGTGCAGGCTCTCCGGCCGGCCAGGGCGTAGTGTGGCCCTGATGCAGTCATGCTGTCTCTGTCCTTTCCTGGCCACCGGCCGACTCTGTGTTTGAAATTCAACCCGCTGGCCAGGATGAGCCTAGATCAGGCCTCAATCCCTCTAAAGCCCCCGTGTTCTGTCACAGGACTCATGAGATGAAACCCAATCTTGTTTTGTGCTGTTGCGCGGTGGCCATTCAATCCCACGGGGGCAACTGGATAGTGTGAAGGGCACAGAGGCCTCCGGGGAACGGCTCGAGCACGTTAATCATGTGCTAATCCAATCCAAGGCTCATAAAGTTTTGTATCGCAACAAAAGGGACGGTGGCTCTGGAGACCTCCTCTGTGAGAATCTCCCATAAACCAAACACCAGCCTCTGTTACCTCACATCATAGTAAAAAATGTGGCGAGAAGAGCAGCAAGGGCCCTGGTCTTGGGTTGCGGAAGCCTGCGGTGGGCAGCTCCTCTAGGAGAGCTCGGCATCACAAAGGGAGTGCGGGCCCGGGCCTGCCAGGGTGCACAGGCCTGGGGGGAGAGCTGGGAGTGCGGGCTGGGCCTGCCAGGGTGCACAGGCCTGGGGGGAGAGCTGGGAGTGCGG